AAAGGTCTTCTTAACGACTCTCATAATTTATAAAGTGTTATTATTCTGACATTCCACAGTACATATGAATAGAACAATTTAACAGACTAAAATATGGGGACTAGAACAATAAACAGTCTCTATGTTTGCTACTGGCTGGCTCAAACCACTCTCTACTTATTTGTGACTTCTTGTCCATATTGTTTTTATTAGTTTTACATGTTTAGGAGGCACTTGACAAAAGCAAGGAAGAGCAAGTGAGCACACCTGAATTATAGTCTTTTAGAGGTTACATTTATGTCACACGTCTTATTCCTTGGTAGTTTAGCTATAGAGCATACAGGAAATGGAGCACTATTGCTGTCCTAAAGAACAGCAAGTGACCTCACAAAGCCCACCTACTCAAGGTCTTACCCACGAGTAGTGACTGAGCTTTAGGGATTCCAACATACTGAGGTGGCTAAAGACAACTGATTTAATTTACATCAACATAGCTATGAACATGTTCAATGAATAGAAATTTTGACTGGGCATGTTAGAAGGAAAGAGAGGGAGGAAAAATACAGAAAGGATCAGGCATCAACACAGATTAAACTTTTCCTTCTTGGGACACTGTATTAGACTAACTGCAAAAATAGCTCCAATCTCTATTTCTTCAGCTTTCTACATCCTTTGCAATATGACTGCAGCTCTTTTCAACAAAAGATTGAGTTTACATCCCCAACTTAATCTGGACTGATTTTGTGATTTTGTGATTTTGCTTTGACAGAGAAGTTAGGCTGCATAAATTCTGAGTCTTGGCTTCAAGGGGCTTCATGTATTTCTGCATACTCTCTTGGACCATGTGATTACCATGAGAAGCCTGGACTAGGCTGCTGGATGATGAAGAGACCATGTGGAGAAAATCCCAGGGCCCCAGCTGATGTCATCCTAGACCAGTCAGCCTCCAGTAACACAGAAGCAAGTGAGCATGTTCAGCCAAGTTCAGCAGAGACACCTCCTCCCAATCTACAGCTGACCACAGATGTGCTCAGCGTGACCCCAGCCAGGACCACAAGAGCCACCCAGCCAAAGCCATTAACTTGTGAACAATAATAAAAGCTTATTGTTTTAAAGTATTGAACTTTGAGGTGGTTTTTATGCAGCAACAGATAACTGACACACTTTTTCAATTCCTATGCTGAGGATGTGAGGCTTCTCGGACTAATGAGCTCCTTCAGGTAAACACTTACCAAACTAGGTCCCTTAAAATACTTCCGTGAAGTGTTAATAGGCTTTACAAGGCCAGGGGGTGGGGGGAGAAGGTGATCAAATAAATGTGGGAAATGTTCTAGCTGCTAGACACTGCTATCTGGCACAGTACATGGCACATGGTACTTGATCGATAATTATTGAATGATATGAAAAAAGTATGCCATTACTTCTCCCAGTAAAGGCAGTAAGACTGAGGCACATTCAGGAGCTCTGTATGTTCTGATGCACATAAACCCACTGAAGATTCTGAGGATTATCAGGAGAACTCACCAAAAAAAGTCACTTTTTTAATGTTAACTCCAACACGTCTAAATTTTAGTCAAGGCATTAGTTTACAATCTTAAACATAGCGCACCTGCTAATTATCATTCAATATCTATTTTCTTCTTACTCATCAGTAAGACAGCCTCAAGTGTGCTTACCTAAAGAATATACTGCTAGGCTCTCTTGCAGCTGGGTATGACCGTGTGACCCAGTACTGACCAGTGAAATATAAATGGAAGTGTTGTATGGAATATCCAGAAAGTCTGCAGAAATTGAGGAAGCTCCCTCAACTAAGAGGGCTCCTTTCTTCTAACTCCTTTCTGCTACACATCTGGACTGTGGGCATGATGGCCGAAACTTAACTGGCTCCAAGTGACCTTGAAAATGGAAGCTACATGATTAAGACAGTGGGACAGAATGAAAGAAACCTGGGCTCCTGATCATACTGTGAAATCATGGCATGCCTAGCACTGAATTTCTTTTCCATGAACTTCTATCTTAAGTCTCTGTTCTTTTTTTACATTTTTCTGTTATAAACTGTCAAAACTAATCCTGACACATCAAACAAATAGGGCTTTTCAGAACACACTCTTATGAATCCCTTACCTTATATCCTAGACTTCTCATTAGTACCATAAAGCCGATTTCGAAAAAAAAAATTTTCTACAGAAAAGAAAGTATTACCTTTATTTAGATATATAGAAACGGTGACCTAATTTGCTATTCTCCAGTAACACACACTTATAAACACCCACCTTGCTTGTGGGGCTTTACTTGATTATAATAATCATTTCCTGATGAAGAACAGAAAGGCAACTATTAGAAAGTGAAACTGCCAAGTGAAGTATATCTGTGTACTTATGCTCTGCCCCCGCTTCTGTATCATTCAGTGAAAGAAAACATACCTGGCTTCCCATTTGGACTTTTCCTTGTGGCTCCTCTTTAAACATCCAATTATAAAGAAATTTATTTGTTTAGACTTCTTCCTTGGGGAAATCCAGAAATTAAATTGCTTTGCCAACAAGGCCAGGAAAACAAATCATTTGTGTTGCGGCTGAGCCATAAGGCTCAAATCATAAACACAAGCAGAGCCTGCACAGCTTTGTTCTCACAAAGCCATTTGGGAGAAGATTTTCATGGCAGCAGCTGAAATGTTTCTACCAAAACAACACCTACACTTTGCTAGAGTTATTTTCAGAGGAGAAGGTTTCCCCTACTGCTGTTTAAATTGTTAAAATGTGTAGTCAAAAGCATAAGCTCGCTTAAGCCTGAGGCTGCAGCCCGGCATGAGAACACAGTGGCCACTTCTTGGCTGGAGGACCTCGGGCAGCTCATGTAACCTCACTGACCTCAGGTCCTCACCATAAGTGGGAACCTCAGCACCTTAGAGGCATCCCGAGAACTAACAAGAGAGTGCATGCTAAGCACCGTAGCTATAGAATAAGTATTCGAAAGAACGAAAGCTGTATTAATTCTTATCAAATTTTATGCTAAATATTGCGAATACCTTGGCGAATAATGATATAAGAACTTATGGGTGAGCCGTATGTAAAGATACCACGTTAACAGTACTAATGTACTTAAAAGTCCATATGTCGAAGCCATAGAACCTCATTTTATCTCAGACCACTTATGCGGCTTCTTCTCCACTCTGTAGGACAGGGTCATGGACAGGAAGTTGTAAAAACTCTCTATAGCTAAAACCAGACATCATAAAGTCTATTTACTGGAATGTCTATATCAAATTCATTAATAATGATAGCTGTTGAGCATTCACCAGGTACCAGGCACCAAGCGATCCACTTCTCATGGGTTAATTATTTATATCTCACAATTATACACCCGGAGGTGCGTCATGGACTCTGTAATGTAATGAACAGATCCCACTTCGGAGCTGAAGAACTTATTTCCCTGCTCTTGCAAGTGCTGCAGGCAAATTGCAGAAAGCTGCCCCACCCAAGATCAAGAACCCCTTCCCCAGTCAACATCAGAGAATAAAGGCCCAACCTGTTACCTGTGGGGTTACTAAGGCTCCTGTCAAGGCTGCATCAAAAAAAAATAAATAAAATAAAAAATAGACTGTATCACAGCTCAACTCCTTCTGCCCAATCTCAAATCCTTCCTTCCCCTTCAATAAGTGTTGATCTTAAGAGACAGCATAGGTTCTGTAATTACATTCATTTTTTTTTTCAGATGAAAAAAGTAAGTCTCAGAGAGGTTAAGAAACCTGTCCAGAGTCACACAGCCAGCCAATGAGTGGTATGATTGGGATTGGGACCCAAGCATTCTAATGCCAGAGCCTAGGCCCTAAATCACTCTTTACTACTGCTCAGTCAAGTTTGCATTTTTATATCCAATAAAATAAACTGGGTAACCTGGCTGTTGTCCTCACAGTAGACTGTAAGAAGCAAATTAGAAGGCGAGAAAAGAGCTGCAAGAGAAGGCAACCTCAGTAAACTGTTACCAGACAATCAGAAAACAGAAGCTACTCTAGATCTTTCAAACCAAAGGACCGGTTAGAGTGATGGAATGTCTGAGAGGTCACAGAGGGAACAGAGAAGCACCCGAGAGACTAGCGATCCTGAAAAGCTGCTAGTTTGCATACTCAGGAGGGTTAATGGAAGAGAGTGATGTAATCAGAGAACAAAGACTTGGGCCAACTAGATGATATTAGAACAACAACACTGCTATAAAGAAAGGAGAAGCCAGGTGAGAGCAGAAACAATGAAAGAAACACAGCTCTTTCTAGAGATACCAAAGAAAGCAGAATGAGGCAGGGAGAGGCAGCCTTCTGTCTCCCCGCAGACACCAAGGGGCAAAGGAGCCTGGGAAAGGTAGTTATCTGTATCACAGACCAGATCTAAGAATAAGTCTGTGTTTGAGCGGCCCTAATATACAGCCGACCAACTGACAATGAGGAAGTATAAACACTCCAAAAATAAAATACAAGAATTAATAAAGCATATCTGTGAAGACTTAGTTTAATGGCAAGTGGTCCTATACACTCCAGCAGTCCCTAAGCAAACAAAACAACAGTAATAATGCCTTTCACTTAGATAGCTCTTACAGGCACAGCGCTATGTTACCGCACAGTTCGACTGCTAATATCTAAAGGGATGAGGCTGAGAAGTTTCGGTTATTCTGTTTAGTAAATCAGGGAATATATGCTATATTCTAAAAGTATTTCCATCATAAAAAATAGTGAATTTATTTGATAGAGTTTAGTAGAATTTTATGATCAAAATTTTACTTATATAGAAAAAACTGTTGCCCACCCTTGTCAGCTAAATAAGGTGTCAATGTAGCTTCGATTCTGGAAGACTAGATCTGCCTTCACAATTGTATCTGTTGTTTGACAAAGTAGGAGCTAGAACACAAATTCTTGCTCCCTTCTCAGAAGTCCTCTGCTGACTTCACTGATGCGGCAGAAATTTTTGGGAGTAGGAGGGGGCAGAGGAGAGAAAAACTGAAAACAAAAATGCATTACCAAGAATCTCCTGTCAGTGCTGGTTTTGGCAACACAGATACTAAAACTGGAACGATACAAAGACTGGCCTGGCCACTGTGCAAGGATGACATACAAACTCATAAAGCATTCCATATATTGCTTTACTTTTCTAATGTTCACAGGTAGGATAACGAAGGCTCTGATAAGCAAAATGACTTACCATCCGAGGCCACTTCTCGCTTCAAACTCCATCCCCAACTTTTCCTCCAAGGAGAAAATAAAGAAAGGTTCTCCAGTCACAATATTCAGCAACCAACTCAATGTTTAATTATCTACTTTACCCTTCCAAAGACATTTAATACACATTTTTTAAGTTATATTATATATAGTTCCTTCAGAAGGAATGTCATTGTTCACATATAAAGATTATAAATAATTTCAGTTCCTTCAATGCTGCCCACCCCGACAAAGCTTTAACGTAATAAAACCCAAATGGCTTGAGATAGGATCTGGATTCAAGGCTCAGCTTTGCTTCTAGCTAGCTGTGTAGATTTAGGCTGGACAATTAACCTCTCTGGGCCTCTGTTTCCTCATTTCCAACATGATGCAACTAGAACTAGCTGATACCCACAATTCTTTCGGTCCTGAAATGATTCTACAGAAAGATAATAAAAGTCCTGCGTAGAATCAGATGAACTTTTTCTCACTTTGACATGGCCCAGACATCTATCTGAGAGATTCCTTATCAGAATTAAAAGTACTGTCTGTGGCTGTGGCATAAAGTTTGACCTCATTCCTTGCTCTCAGTTGACTGTGATCTCACCTAGCAATTCTCAAGCTGGCTCCTAGGTTATTCTGATTGCAAAGAGAGCCTTACTCTCCCTCCCTGTACCTACATCCTCTGCCATGTAACCTTGTAGTGCCCTCCCACTCTGAAATGAGACCCTTGACTTTCTTTGGTAAACAAGATATTAGCCAACATGATACAAGCAAATGCTTGCAGACAGCTTGAAGATGCACTGTTGGGCTTGCTCTCATTCTTGCTCCTTTGTCATGGTCACGAGAACACACTAGGTCTAGCATGCTTGGGGATGAGAGACACATATAACTGAGACAAGTCACCTCAGTCCTCCCAGCTAAAGCCATCCTAGGTCAGCCAACAGCCAGCTGAGCTCCCAGACATGTAAACAAATTCAGCTAAGATTAGAAGAATCTGCCTGTCCAACTCACAGCTGACCATAGACACCTGAGTGAGATAAGCTAAAATAAGCTAAGCCCCGATCAGGATGAGCTGAATCCCCCAAACTTGTAAGCTAAATGTGTTTTTGTATTATTGTATTCCAATAATAGTTATTTGTTATGCAGTATTATTGTGGCACTAGGTAACTGATACACATTTCTTGGAATAGTCGCCCTCAGCCAGATAATAATGACTATTTCCAGGAAAAAGTTTCCTTAGTGTTGAAACAAGTTTGGGATACACTGCATGCCTTAAGTTTATCTTAGAAGTTCATAACACGTATTAATACTTTTACGGCTCTAAGAAGTCCCACAGTAAAGAAATCTACTTAACTTTGTCTAACTCGTGTTACCCCCAGCCTATTTTACCACAGAACCCCGAGTACGATTCACTAACAAATTCTCCTCTAGGCTTAGGTCCCACGTCTAGGTTGAGTATCTAACTTCTTGCTAGTTAGCTATGCATCTCATTGTCTCTTCCAAGACAGTTACCGGGCCCTTCGAAAACAAACAAAATAAACAAAAACCTTAAAAGTACTTTGAAATCATGACAGCTTATATATTTTTTTTATAACCAAAGTCTAATTGGAAACGAAGGGGAATGTTCCACAAATATCTGAAACCCAGACATTGCCTTAGTCTAATTTCAACTTTCTCAGCTACTAAAAGCCTAACAAAAACCTAATGCTAACCTTGCCATTTCCTCCTTAACATTCTTCAGAGGCTCTCACAATGCCTTGGTTCATAAGCCTTGGATAATCAAGGCCCTGATTCCTTATCCATTTCCTCTCCCACCACTCTTTCTCCCCTCTGTCTCCCTCTTCCTAGTCTCCTCCCACCCTTAGGTATACACGCTATCCATGCTGAAGAACTTCCAGCTCCATCAAATGGGCCATGAGCTAGCGCTCTGAGACTCTACAGTGTCTGGTTCTATTTCATGTGACCTTGATTTATGTAGCTTTGCGATAATATAATTACATTAATACAGTCTCACATTCATTTGACTCAATGTTAAAATTCTTCAAGAATTATAGCTTTGAAGTTGGCTGGGTGGAGAGAACGCTAAACTCTGTTTACAGAGTGGCCACAGGGTGGCGCCGTCTTAGCTTCTAAAGGGAAATACCCATCTTGAATTATGGAAATTCTGAATTTGCAAGGACTTCAGAAACACAACTCACATAAAATGTGACCTCTAGAACACAGAGTTTCTTGTGCTAGGAACTCCCTTAACCACACAGAAGCCCCCAACATACAGAGTTCATCCAGCTAACTTCAATCAATCTGTCATGTGTCGGTTGAGATAGTACTTCTTCCTGGAAACTTTGCCTGAAATCCCCAAGAATAGGTTGTGAGGCCCTCCACTGTAAATGCGTGTTATTTGGTCTCCTTCATGGGGGAGGGATTCTAGCTTATTCTATCTTAGATCCAGAGCCCAATATAGTGCCTGGTTTACAACAGATGATCAATAAATATCAGATGGTTTCTTGTGTGGGTGGGTGGGTAGATGGGTGGAGGGAAAAATGAACAAGCAGGTTGGGCCACTGAATGCAGCATGACTGATTTTTGCGGTATATTCTCTCCTTATCCTCTTCCCCACCCAACCTCATGAAAAGACAGTTATAAATATTAGGCAACAGCAGAAGAAAAAACACAAGAAAAAAAAGAACCTTGATCATCATAACAGCTAGATAAGAGTGATCATTATGAGTTTAGAATTAATGTGGTGAGGGCACTACATTAATTTTTGAGGTAAGGGCACTTTTCAAAAATATAAAAGACAATGAGGAAAAAAAGTAGGACACAGCAGAGTATCCTTCTTCTGCTAATCACAGAAAATGTGCTAACGATACATCTTTTTTTTTTTAAGATAAACATTTTAACCAATTTTTGAAAGTGAAGGACTCACTCCAAGAACTGTGCTATGCAGTGAATGTGACCTCTTCAATGTAGCAAAAATGTAGGCTTTCTTTAGAGCTCCGTGGGGTCAGATTCTCTGCTTCCCAACACAAAACTCACTGGAGAAATATTTTTGTTTCTCATTCATTTTCACCCTGGACACCAAGTTCACTGTCTCTGTTACCCCATGAGTTGTCTTCTTTAATGGGGGTAGAAATGAATGCAAACACACAGATAAGACATTTTAAAACCAAAAAAAGCCTTGTCGCCAATGTTTCTTCTCACATTACTTTTGACCCCAGGCCAAACACCCAATATACCTCTTGCACTTTTAGTTAGGACTAGGAAAATAGTTCTGCCACTGATTTAAACATCCTGCCAACTGACTCCGTGCCATAGCCTTAGGGAATGTCACATGGATGATCTTTTGGCTGTGTATGTGTACTGCCTTGTTCTCTAGGCTTTAATTTTACTTGAACTTTCTTTTGACCCCTTAGACACTATATTTGAAAACAAGGCTGTCCCATAATTTCACAAGCTAGAAAAATCTGTAATGATTTTCTATGGATTGTTTTTACCCTAAAGTTAAGCAAAGACATAATCTGCCACTGTTGTTTTCAGGTTCCTTTGTGCTGTATTTCCCTACTGTCTCAATTCCTTTAAGCCCCACCTAAACATATAAATAAGAACCTGGCCGTTTAGTTGTGTCATCCACAAACCACATCAATGGCAGTAGAAGCAGGGAATACCAGAGTTAGTTCTCCCAAATCTCAACCTGAAAGAAGGGGTAACAGCCCCGATTCCTGGAGCAGCTCTGTCCTTTGGGAGCTTGTTAAACTTCCAAGAATTCATTTTGGCCTCCTACAACCTATTTTTCTGCATGCATTCTTTCAAAAGACATCTGCATCCCCTGGGAAGAGAAGAAAGTGATACCAAATAAAACAAAAAGCAAACTTCAGAGGGGCTTCTCAAGTAAATGCTCTCAAATAAAGAGTAATTTCTTCCCTTTGTTCTTCCCTTTCTCTCGTTAAGCACCCTACAAAGTTAAATCTCTTAAGGTTATCGATTCTCTTTATTTATAAAAAGCACCCACCAAGTAACCAAATCAAGATCCCTTTTGCAGAAGGGAGCCCGGGGCAGCCGTTTCCCAGAGACCAGGAACCACTGCCACCAGGACTCCCACAAGGCACCCCGTGTCTCTTGCTAATGCAGTTCCTTAATTGGCCATGAATAGTTACAGTCAGCTCCAGCAATTTCTGCCCCCTGTACAGTATAATCTCCTAAAACATCAGCTGAGAGTTGAGGGGCCAAATTTTTAAATAGCATACAATTAATAATCGTAGTACTAATGAAAGAATTACCAAACTGCTATGTGAATTCTGAAGCCCAAAGTGGAAGCTCGGCTAAATGAAGCAAACCTGTTCTTCCCCCTATCACTTTATAAATGTTCCATTTAGTAATGGAAATTTCTGGGACTTGATAATGAAGAATGTGAGCATGTAGTATTTCAGGTTGTATTCACTTATTCGACATACATTGAGCACCATCTCTGGACATAAAGATGAAAATTACTGACAGCTGATCTCAAGGAAGTCACAATTCCACTCAAAAAAGAAACTTCTCATGGAATTTGTTCATGATCATTCACTCAAGAATGATCACTGAGTATCTGTCACTATTCTAGGTGCTGAGGATGCCACAGTGAACAATATAGACAGAAATCCCTACTTCCATGGAACTTCCATTCTGGAGGGATATACTGACAACACACAGGTGAGTAAATGGTCTGGATACTAGAGGATACTAAAGGCTATAAAGGAAAAGGCTGAAGTAGGGAAGGGGGCCAGGAGTATAAGTCAGGGTGGTGGCAACGTGAAATAACTAGGAGTGTAAAGGAAGTCCCCAGCTGGCAAAGATTTGAAGGAGGTGAGGGAACGTGTCCTACACATACTGGGAGGGAGAGCTTTCCAGGCCAAGGGAGAACATGCAAAGGCCCTGAGGGAGGCAAGCCTAGCGTGTGTGAG